ATTGAGATATTGGCAACGAATTAAAACCGTACTTGCGTGAGATTTCGAAATTAGGAACTTGGAACATCGAAAGTGTTTGTCAGACATTTTAGCATTGAACAAGCTGACAGAAAGACAACTAAGATCTTTACATGCAAATAGAAATTGGTGAAAATCTAGCTCAATTTGAAACAAAAAATCAGCTCTGTATAATAAAAATTTTTGGTCTTAAGGCCCATTCACGTCAAGAATCATACATATAAAGATAATAACTATTAGTGTCCACACCAAGGCACAATAACGTTCTGTTTATTATAAACGTGCTGCAATTATGTTGTCTGCTGCTTTAAATGCTCAAGCCCTTTAAGGCAGGATGGATTCTGATTGGTTGTTAATGTTTTTATCATTCATCAGCTGGAAAAAAAATGTTTCCAATTATATCAATATCATTATCGATATTCTAACAATATCGCTTCTCTGTAATAACTTGTATGACCCATGAAATTTATTTTCAAGACCTCATAAGTTTCAATTAACAGGTGCCGGCTGTGTTTTGTAGTAGTAGTTTATAATAATTGACTGTAAATTCTGGTGTTTATTGGCTAGTTTTCCCAATCCAGTCAATTCTCAAAGAAAAAAGTCAAGTCCTACCCAACGTCCTTCACATGGAACAGTCTGTTTGTAAAAAAAAAAATTAATTTGCATTACCAAGCATGTTGTCAGCTTGTTGTATGACGAGTAATTAGTCTAAAGTTCTGAATACCCACTGAAGGTCCCAAGGGTTCATGAGGTAAACAGGTATCCGGTGTGTCTGCGACATTGTAATTTTTAACAATCTCATGAATGATTAGAAATACAGCAGTATCTCTACCACTCCCTAGTCTTGTCCAAAACTGATGTGAGAGATTGATTCTGTACTCTCTGCATTTGGCCGAAAAAAGACTTTCCTTAATCTCACCCACCGTTTTGACACTACGCAGCTCCTACGCTGAAAACAACCAGATGTTTTACACCATTTGTTCCATAGTAGCAGAGTAAGAGCATTAATTTCAACCCTGTGAAAAGCTTCTGAATCATGGTGTTTAGTCGACAGATGCCGGACGATCATGGACGAGACTGTACTCCAGCTCTGAGTACCATTAAAGGGCTCCACAGTGGTTTGTTTTAGTCGTTTCGGCCAGGCATCTTTAAACAGTTCCTAATACAGAGTGACATGGACCTAAAGCCTTTGAACACTGCTGTAGAACTACATTTTAAGGCGCTTCACCCTTTAAATGATAAAAGTAGTGAGTTATCGCTTTGTTTGTCATGCTCTTAAACCCTTGAGGGGTATTATTAAAGCGGTGAATGCCATGGAAAGAGTATTGTTAAGAGTATTTTTAAAATCTTGTAAATCCTGGTAATTTATGTCACCCTTTTCCCTGGGAATGTAACCCCCTCCCTTATGGTTTGCATTTGGGGCTGAGCAGCAATGGACGGATGCGTGTACCTGTAATAGGGACTGTTTAACACCCCCTCCTTCTCTTCATCTTTCTCTTCCCAAATCCCTCTAGTCAGGATTTACTGTGGTGACCTCCCAACTCTCTGATTCCTTTCCCGGGAGTTGAGGGCCTTCCCAGGCTCCCAAACCCTCGGAGAAATGCTTGTAGCATTTAGGAGCTATGCCCCATTTTTTTCCCATCCCAAGCACTGCGTTTAATCAGTCCAGGCCTGCGGTGATTTGGTTTTAATTCTAAGGGGTGGGCCGGATTTAACGGTGTGATTGAAGGCAGTGATAAATGGGAAGGTGGAGGGGGGCCATATGCCTGGTACAGACTCCATTACGGGTATTACTTCATTTATTAAAGTGGGACCGGGCTTGTTTGCGTGTTTCGCACAAGGTTCAACTCCAAAACCTGACCCACAAACATGCATTTCAGCATGTTATAGACCTTAATATAGAATAGATGGTTCTTAAAGGTTGTGGTGAGTGGTTGCACCGACATGAACCTCAGTGAACGACCAACATTTGAATCCTGCTCGGAGCCAGCAAGGGTAATAGAACTGGATGGGTTACGTTGGTGCCGTGACCCGGATGGGAATGAGTGTTAGGGAGGTGAGTGTAACGGAGGCCAGCTAGTAAGTGCTGTGGAGGTAAGCCTCACTCCCCTGATCTCAAGAGGCATACTAGCGACAAACGCTAGAGGCTGCGGTATTTAGTGTCCTTGTGAGTGTGCCCACTTCCCATGCTGGAAACGCATTTTCAAATCCTGCTTGGAGCTAGTGTTGCTTTCGTCAACGAAACTTATGACTAAATATCGTTGTCAACGAACCTTTATCACGTGATGAAGACGAGACGAGACGCAACGTAAATGCTGGTCATGTGACGATGACTATAATTAAATGTATAATGCAATATTGTTGACGAATAAAAACGAGACTAAATGTGGTTTACAAAATAAAAACTATGCTAAAATGTCTCTTAATTTTCGTTGACCAAAACGAGACGAAACAATGTTATAACGTTATTTCGTCTTGTTTAGTTGCGTTATTATTATTATTTTGCAGTATTTCTGTCTCACTTCAGGGGCTGCATCAGGTCGCACTGCGCAGACACAGGCGACGTCACTTCCTCAAGCCCCACTCGCGGCATTATTTAGAGCAGTGTTTCCCAACCGGGGTGCCGCGTCTGTCGAGAGCAGGGGTGCCATGTAAAAAATCCTTTAATATTTTTAAATTGCTAAAATGTTCAAAAAAGCTGCTATTATATATCCATTTCTAATGTCGCCAATAATTAGAGATACACCGAAATTTCGGCTGCCGAAAATTAGTTCACCGCTCAGGATTAACTTTCACGTGGTGTGAAGCTCTGTGTATTATCCCGCTCTATGTGTGTGTTCCACTCATATACTGTTCATGCTCATCGAAACAGCAAAGTCCACTCAAAAATCAAGCTGACGGGAAACATCGATGTAGTACAGTATTGTTTCTTTCTGCAATAGCCCTACTGTGCTGTAACAAGGTGTGGTAAATGGGCAACTCTGGTAATGCTGCCATCTCATTAATTGATCTGCTAACCGTTATGCTCATGTGTCCTCTGATGATAATAATAGCTTTCTAGGATTAAACATTATTTGGATAATTGGTAAAAAAAAAAGAAAAGATCTCTTAATAGCCCTACTGTGTGTTAGACCTACCTGAAAAACTAAAAAGCAATTTATTTCATTTCTATTCAATTCAAAGTTTTACATCAAGCTATCTTGTGCTACTGCAACAAAATTACCCAGCTGTAAATTCAAAAATACACTGAGTGAGCAAAACTGTTTAATTACCATTATAACTTGCTATCGCACAATGTTTACATATGACTAAAAGCCTACATTAAAATCTGTCATATAAACTGGTATCTTCATTAGAAATTAGCCTACTGATTGCCACCATTGATAGACACATTTTTTTTATAATATTAAAAATATCTGTATGACATTATATTCTGCAGTTCTTCCCTGTTGTACCGAATATATATACTTTTCAAATGATCACATCGAAGTTAGAAATTCAAATATTGTGACAATTTATTTTGTAGGGTGCCACAAATTTGTTAAAATTTCCAAAGGGTGCCGCGACTAAAGAAAGGTTGGGAGAAACTGATTTAGAAGATGAAAACCAAACAAAGTTAAGTCTGACACAGAGAAAGGGACCGATGGCCGGCCAGCCATTTAAATTTAAATTTATGTGTGTGTACTTCTAACATGTTTGGTTGGTAAAATAAATGTTGTAAATTCAAATCAGAGCGTCTTCCGTGTCTGGAATGGATGTATTCTTGAGTCTATAAGGTAACAATAATATAACAAGATAACCTTGTTTGAAATGGGTTTGGCTAAAAGAAAATTTTCGTCTATACTACTAGGTACTTATACTATATTGACTGGGTTAAATAGAATTGCATTTCTAAAACTAGACTAAAATACAATTTTCATTGACTAAAACTAGACTAAATGTCATCAGTTTTCGTCGACTAAAACTAGACGAAAATAGTCATGGATAATTCTGACTAAAATAAGACTAAAATGCTCAGACTTTTAGTTGACTAAAACTTGACTAGACTAAAAAGAGTATGAATGTGACTAAAACTAATAAAAACTAAAATGACAGCATCACACAAAGACTAGACTAAAACTAAAATTAAAACAGGCCGCCAAAAACAACACTACTTGGAGCAAGGGGAGTAGAATCAGGGGGTTTATATTGGTGCCATGACCCGGATGAGAGTGAGTGTTAGGGAGGTGAGTGTAATGGAGGCCAGCTGGTAAGTGCTGTGCAGGTAAGCCTCACCCTTCTGATCTCAAGAGGCGCACTAGCAACAGACACTAGAGGCTGCAGTCTTTAGAATGCTTGCTAGCGCACTTGCCTCCAATGCTGGAAACGCTGGTTCAATCCCGCTCAGAGCGAGTGTGGTCAAGTAGAACCGAGGGGGTTACAGCAACATGCTAAGGCCAATTGCAAATGCATCTCTTGTGTGTTATTTGTGTAGCACAGAGTTACTACCTATATAAAACACTCCAGATATTTAATTTCAGTATTTATTTAATGAAGCTGTTAGCATAGCAACATGCTAACGTTAAACTCTATTAAAGTTAGTTGTAAATTGAGTCTCCTGTGCGCAACTTACAAAAAAACAATCCAAATTGGTCTCTTATGACGTTACGTGTCCATTTCAATGCTGGGTAGCAAGGCAGCTCCAATAGGTTTTGGAACCGAGCTCGAGTGTGTCCTCCCATTGGGCAAATCTGAACCTGTGTGTTCAGCGTACATGCTTAGCAGAAGTGGATGAGGCATCTCTGTCTGTGTTTTATGGAGTGTAATTGTGCGCTGGGAGGCACTGCCCTCTATTTCTCCTCTTAATGGCTGTTTGTGTGTTGTTTTAGTGGCAGATTTACGTGTGGGACGGGCAGTGAGGGGCTGGTTGATTTACAGCTGTGGCTTTGGCCTCACTGGTTATGTGTGTGTGTGTGTGAGCTGTCCCTGTGTGTGTGTTCCAGGTGATTGTGCAGTCTGGCCGCCAGCCCAGCGTGTTGCAGAAACTCTGTCAGCTGCCGTTTCAGTATTTCAGCCACCCGCGACTCATCAAAGTGCTCTTCCCCTCGCTCATCTGTGCCTGCTACAATAACCTGCAGAACAAGGTCATCCTGCAACAGGAAATGAGCTGTGTGCTGCTGGCCACCTTCATACAGGTAAATCGCTCGGCCTTCACTCCATCACTACCGTGCAATTCAGACTTTGTTTCATGAACATGTCCACAAACTGGGTTGCTCCCTTTAAAAGCGATATGCAACTGCAAAACTAGAAGTCGTTGGAAACGCATGTACCAAATAAATCTCGTAACGCATGGGATTGAAACGGTGCTTTATTTGAAACTGTTCAGTGATATGAACTTTTATCAACTCTATCCAAAACTCAAAAAATTAAATAGAAATTCAGTACTTTCATAATGTTATCTTAAGTGTAATTTCTGCGCCGCTAGCGTTGCCAAACTGACTAGCAAAAATAGTGAACATTTTTCAAACAGCCTTCCCTCAATACTTCTATCTTCCTCTGGTCAGACAAACAGATATTCCCTCCCCCAAAATGTGTGTTGGATGAACCAATAGCGTTAATCACATTTCACATTCACATTTCATGGGAATCAATATACAGCTTTTGGTTGTATGTAGGTATTTATCTGGGATAGAATCCTTTTTTGGCATCACTAAATGGAGTAAATAATCAAATGTGTTCATTTTAGTTTTACAAACATGTCTCTGAATTACATATTCCAGCTGTAAAGGGGTGATCACACTGACAACTGGAAGTCGTTGGAAACACATTTACCAAATCTCAGGAACACATGTGAATGAAACACTGCTTTTTTCGCAAAATATTCTTTATTCTTCATTCGTTTTAGCAATGTTCCGATTTTTCTCTTAAATTCAATTCGCAGCTCGCTATTGTGAATGCCCCTTAACAGATTTACTCAAGCAACCTGTGCAAAAATGTTTGCAATAAATTAAACAATAAAATTCAATGTATGTTAGAAAATCTAAAAGAGAATTGTATCCAGGCTATCATTTAGCATATTTTAGAACATTTACAAATTGTTATAGTAAATGAACTGGAATCGAATCACCCCAAATCATACCCAAATTTTAGATTTCATGATGCATTGCATCTTTTAGTAAAACATTAACAAGTTACATTGTAAATTTCTTCTTTTCATTAAAAGTGTGTTATTTGTCTACTCCCTGGGAATCGAACCTATGACCTCTGGGTTGCTAGCGCCCCACCAGCCTCACTAAAAGAAGCAGCTTCCTTTGCTCAGATGGATGGTTTCCTCTGTTTGAGTGGATCTACCTGCCACTACTTGAGCCTCCTGTAAACACCCTCTCCCTTGATTTTGTTCCTGGCAGCGCTCTCCACACCACAGCACCGCTGCCATTACTTACACCGAGATTAGCTCCAACTCCAACAAGGACAAGGAATCGTCAACTTGTTCAAACAATGGAAAGACGCTGACAAAGTCACTTATTGACACTGACGACAAAAGCTTCATCCACTTCATCCAAAACTCAAAAAGAGTTAAAATAAAAAAAAGAGATTTAGCAATTTAATCTGAAGTGTAATTCCTGCACCACTAACATAACCAAACTGAATGTTTAAAGGGGTCATATGATGCGATTAAAATTTTTCCTTTCTCTTTGGAGTGTTACAAGCTCTTGGTGCATAAAGAAGATCTGCAAAGTTCCAAAGACTAAAGTCTCAAATCCAAAGAGATATTCTTTATAAAAGTTAAGAGTCAACCACACCTACCTAAAACGGCTCATTCTAACACGCCCCCACATGTCTATGTCACGATGTGGGAAGATTTGCATAACGCAGTCCAAAAGAGGACGATATCTGCTTCGTCATGCCTAGAGCTGATCCGTGCTGGTCGCTGAGGAAATACATCAACTTTGCGCTGTGGATCGCCGGATCGGCTTTCACCGTGGACAAAGCGGAGTCCAGCCCGGGATTGTCATATGTGGTTGCTGCAAGCCCTCCGGACGCTCCTTCGTCGAATCCACCGGCCGAGCCGTTCTCTCGCGTCTGCTCACACAGCGTCACACACGGGACACGACTAGAAATCAGTGGTTAAGTTGTATTTACAACACTGTTCCAGAACAGTTCAACCCAAATATTCAGATGTGTGCAGCGCATTTTATGGAGGACTGTTTCCTGATCCTGGTAGAGTAGACTACAATGCCGGCAGTTCTGACTCACAGGTTTTTTTTAAATATATATATATAAAGAATTTGCCACTGATGATTCAAATGAGAGTTTTGAGCAGTGTAGAGTAGCGCTTGTTTGTCATTTCTCCGATTACAAATGAAGACATGGTTTTGTGTTTACGCGGCGCGATGCAATGCGTAAAAAGACAGTATAAGTCATTATAATCCGTAATTATGTCTCCACTGGATGCAACAAATGCCTCGTTTATAATGGGTTTTAATGTTTGTCTCATCGCTCCGGCCGGACACGGCTTCACATTTCCGTCACACGCTTGAGGTATTCGGCCAATCACAATGCACTGGATAGCTGGCCAATCACAGCACACCTTGCTTTTCAGACCGATGAGCTTTGTAAAAATCGACTCATTTCAGAAAGGTGGGGCATAGAGGAGAAACAATAATGTACAGTATGTGGAAAATAATGTGTTTTTTTAACCTTAAACCGCATAAACGCATTTCATTACACCAAATACACAAAGTAATGTTCTTTTTAGCAACATCATATGACCCCTTTAATAAATTCAAATGGTTTACTTATAGTTGGTGTTCATATATGGATAGGATAGAAGGACAAACTTTGCCAAGTGGAATAAAGTGGAATTTGCCTTTGTGTAATCTAGGACTGTGCCACCAACGAGAACCAACCGGACAGCAAAGCTTCACATCTAGGTAAGGTCTATATAAGGTCTATAGACTATTTGCTAAAATGCATGCATGCATTTTAAATGTAATTTGGTACAAATTTCTAACCCTTATGTTGTCTTCCAGTCATTTTGGACCTGTAGATGGTTTTCTTTTGCCTGAAAATGCTAGTTAATGCATTGGACTGAAACTTACTAACTGGAATTTTTTTTTTTTTTTTTTTTTTTTTTTTTAAGGTTTTTTTTCCTTTTTTTTTTTTTTTTTTAAGGATTTCTTTCCTACCTTATTGGTATTTCTGATCAAATATTACTGGCTTACCAAAAACAGCTTTTTGCTATAGTATTACCAAATACTGGATGGAAATCTTATCGACTTGTTTCCTTTCAGTTATCTCAGGTTTTGTATTTATTTTTAAAACTGATTTATTGTAGGCTTCATTGATATGAGCTTTTTCAATTCAGTTTTTACATGAACATTATCCACAAATAATGCTTGAGGTGCATAAGCTCAGATCAGTGAGGCCTGCGATCAATCAGTTCCAAAAACAAATACAAAACCTGTGCTAATTAGAAGTAAACAAGTTGAGACAAACTTTGAATCCAAGATTTGGTGATAATATAGCATAATGAGAAACTTACAAGCAGTTTTTAATAAGGCCGGTCATTTTTGACCAGGAACACCACATTAGGTTAAAGGATTTTCAGCGCAGCACAAGGGTTAAATATACATATGGGATTCAATATTTACAACTGACAAATGGATCCAGAAATCCACATATTCCATTCTAAAGTGCGTTAGTTAAAAATAAATGTCTTATTGCTCACAAAAGAATCCTTCTCTAGCATTGATTTAATGCTTTACTTCCTGTGTCAGTTCTAAAGCTCTGATCTTTCCCCATCAGAGAAGGGCTGGGCTCCTCTGGACTACTGCGAGCTTTCCAACCGCTTCCCCAGAGACCAGTGGGACTCCGCACTTCAGTTCTTCCTCAAGAAGCAGGAGGAGTGAACTGCAGTCATTTACAAGAGCACATTACACACATTGATGATGAGCTGAAATGTACACTCTACAATGCAAAGCTGTGCCGGAGGGGTTTAGGGTACGAATGATGCCGGTAATCAGACCATCATCCCAACCCGTCAATCAGTAGTGAGGCATTCCTAGTAGTTATCCAGTAACTGTATGTTAACACCTATATATTAGCACACACTTTGACTTCTCGCACATGTATTTATAAGCAATAGAATGTTTAGGGATTTAATTTACAGGATTTTTACCTTAAATACATTGTTGGACGCATTCATAGTGATCTGCAAATCTCTTTCTAAGCTTTCTAAGGTTAGTTTAATTGTTAGGTTTGAGTGTGACTGTAATTGTGTTGTTTTGTACATAAAAAGATATTGGGGGATGATGCAGAATAAACAGAAGCACTCGTTTAATTAAGGGAGAATGAGTTACCTCATCCGGTGGTTTTCTTGTTCCAGTTTGTTTCTATGCATAAAGTGGAAGATTTCTTCCTGTAGCTGACATGCTATGATTTTTAATAATTTTTGTTGTGATTTTTTGCTTGTTTTATACTGTAATTTATACACCGTGAAGATGTATTCTACACATTTTTTTTACTTTAACGCATTGAAGCACTTAAGTTTAATTTAAGACATGGACGTGTTTAAAAAAATATTTAAAACTGCACAGTCTTTGAGTTCTTTCATTGTAGCTTGGTTTGAAATATTGTCTACCAGAAGATGTTTTGGATATTTGAATATATACGCAGTCGAGAGCTATAGGGTCTCTAATTTTCAAGTCTGGGACAGCTAATGAAATTGCTTCTATTTTGAGTTTTTCTAATTTAATACAAATGTTTTAACTTGCAAACATAACCATTTGAGCACAAATTTAACTTGAAAGAACAAAAATAATTACAGAATGTCTTCGTATTTGCTTTTTCATTAAAAATGCTTTTTAACGAAAGTAGCACATAAAGTTTGTCAAACCTCATCATGATGTTGTCCAGCACGATTTGAGATGATCCAAAGGACATCTGACCATCTGTACAAAGAGTTCACATCGGTTTATAATATTAGTGACCAGAAATAGTACAGAATCTGAAATATTTCTTGTACTTTTTTTTAAACTGTGAAGTGTTTTAAAATTCCTACAGCTTTGTTTATTTCCAGTTTTAAATCAGATTTTGAATCTCAGATTTTAATGTGGTCTCAGACGTTTGGATCCCTCTATAAATTCTGCAACTTGACTCTAAAATATATCTATAATCACACCCTTATACACTATTCCCATGCATAATTGTGATGTTTAAGCATTCTGGAGGTTATTTAAAAAAATTAAATAAAATACTCTTTTATTATAGCTATAAACATCTCTATATATAAAAAAAAAGCAACATGGGATGTGTTTTAAGTGAGAGCTTTTATTGGCTAACTTGCTCATTTATTCGCAGGGAAACACAGTGGAGCTGGAACCTGCAATGTTGGTTACACGGCATTGTAAAAGGGTCTTCACTGGCCCTGGGGCACCACTAAGAGCCCGCTGTTCTTCCGCTCAAACCTTCTCTCTCTCATACACTTTTTCTTCTCACACTCAGTCTATGTACACCGCTTGTCTCTTTTCTGTACCTGTGTGAGTCACAGCAGCTCCACTCCGCCGCCGAGCCTCTGGGTCAGACCCACCTCAGTTACACAAGACCATCACTTCTGCTCCAAATGTGGACAAAAAAATATTCAATTACGGTCATTTGGGTTGTCCGAGACTTTTTAATACATTGCTTTTAGATTCAGTCTTGCAAAATGGATGTGTTTTATGTGAGATCTTTGGACTTTGAAATTGTAGCGGGTGTATATGTGACAGCTCGAATGGGAGCTGTTTTTGTAGACCGGTCCGTTATTTGCTTTTTCAGAGCATCGGAGCTCTTGACGTTCTGGTGGTTTTGGCAGACTGAAGTGAACTCGAACAGAAGAACGCTGTGGCCCTTTCCGTCCCGTCAGCTAATGAATCATGAGCGTTCGTGTGTTTAGGAACTGGATTTGTTTGCTAAATCTGTTGTCTGAATGTCTTTTTCTACATTTAATTAAGAAATGCGGCTGTGAACGTGTAAAAAAGAAAGGTTTTTATGGGGACATTCAGAATGTTTTATAGGTGTACAAAACGACTTTAAGAAATGAACATCATTATCAACCGCACCATACTAAGAAACAGATTAACTGTATCTGTAGGAAAATTAGTATTTAAAAAAAGTGATGTAATGGCAAATTTCTGACAATTATTTAGGTACTTTACGGGTTTGATTAATGGCAAAGCGCTTCGGGATTTTATTTAGTTCAAGTTTATTAGGCTAGTTTAAATGTTTGTTTCACTAAACAGATTGGTGTGAAAATTTAATTTGTGTTCAAGAATGGCGAGAGTTATTTTGCAGCATTTTATGCAGCCTAAGTTATACTTGATATTGTTCCTTTTTTCTTATTTAAATGCCTTTGTATTTTTTCCAGTTTCCCCCCAGTTGATTTTCATATACCTTGTCAATTTTACGAGCTTTTTATATATATATATAATAGGCCAACCAAATTGACATTTTAGGCAAATAAATATTTTTTTTTTACAACAGGCAAAACTAAAATATAATTGAAGAAAAGCCCTGAATGTGTTTGACTTTTCTTGCCTCTTGTCAGCATCCAAAATATTTGGATGTAGATTATTTCGTTATATTTCAACACTGTAAAAAATGCTGGGTTGTTTCAACCCAATTTTGGGTCAAATATGGACTAACCCAGCTGTTGGGTTACATTTTTACATAACATTTTTAACCCAAAAGTCGGGTTAGTCCATATTTGACACAACCCAGCATTTTTTAGAGTGAAGGTTTGAGGTTGTCTATTGTGACAGCTTTCAAAATTAATTGCAAGGAATAATTTAAACATTTGAACCAACACACAACATTTCCATAAAGGGACATGTAGGCTATTCGATGTTTAGCTTTAAAAGTCGAATAATTGTTTTAGGTTGGTTTTTAGATTTATAAACCAAAGGTTAGCTAAATACTTTGATTTTCAAATTAAAATGACAGACGAGGACAGAGTTGTAATTTGCAAAAATGTCAAGATTTGTTTTATGCAAACATGAACTTGGCTTAAGTGTGCCTTTATTTAATTAGACCTAAATTATTAAATTAGTGGCGGAATTTGAAACAAGATGTGGCTCTTGACCTCTGGCCATGACATCTGAATCGTTGTTTCTCCCTGAAGCATCTATCCATGAGCGACAAACCGTCTTCATTCACAATCTGAATCTATTTAAGCGGTCTTCATTTCAGTCGATTTAATCGGGATCAGATCTGAAGACAGTTTAGCAATGAAAAATCATCTAAGATTGGTCATTTGACAGGGATTTAAACGCTTTACATTTTTTAAGAATGATATGATTTTTGCAATGAAGACTTTAGCTTTTGAAACGTGGCTTGATACAATTTAGGCAACATTTAATTTTTCAAGCTAAATGCCGTTAAATTCGCTTTTTCTGAAGGAAATACCAGTAACCTGCTTACAAGACCGCAAAAGACGTGTTAAGGTTTTAAGCAGGTACAATAGCTTAAGGCTTTAGTTATGTGTAGATGTGTGTGTTGTCTGCTTTAGCAAACAGATTAAGGACTTTCACACAGAATGCGCTCCGGCGTCTGACTGCCTCCGTCTGTCTGAAAAGGTGGCTAATCGTTTAATAAAAATACAATAACCTATCTTATATTTGCGTATTTAATCGCTGTGAAATTTTGCTGTTAGATTTTGAATGGAGAACATTGTAACAACACCTCAGTGCAAGATTTCAGATTTTCCTAAAGACCGCGTGAAATCGCGTAACTATCGCTGTTTTCGGGTTTGCACATTTTCTGTTGAAAGAGGGAGCTAGAGAGGAACATGTTCAAGGGCTTGTTTTTGGAAAGCCGGATTTATAGCTTCGACGAAATTCCCATTCTTTCAGAATATGTAACATGAAGAACTTAATTCTCCACTATTATTCTAGTTAGGCTATGTATTGTGTATAGGCCTACATTTATGGACATAACGACATAGGCTACTATAGGCTACACGTCCAAATTTAACCACACATTTAATCTTTCTTGGTATCTATATAACACAGTTAAAAAGAGAGGGCATTAAGGTTGTCACTGTTAATAGCATACTGCTTTGTGCATGATATATAGAAACGTATGCATATCTGAATGATTTCATAGAAGCTAGTCGTTTTCAGTTATTGATGGAGGGAGGGGCGTTGTCATTTAGAGAGCGTTTGATTGGACAAGAATCAGTAGTGCAGAATGAGTCATCAATAATGTTGTTCTGTTTTGCTGGAAGCTGTAGGCTACGCATTAAATCCACATATTTGCTAGAAGTGTTTGTTGTTTAATCATCTTTAAAATACATGGACTAAAACCCACAAATACCCCTTTGTGATTTTCCAGGCTTTAAGAGTCAAACATTTATTTAAAACAAAAACTATATAAGCAAAAAAATCGTTTGAATGCCTGAATTAATCGCGGGAAAATAACTGAAGCAACAGAAATGAATAGGCTATAGAGCTGTCTTACAACTGCTTATCCTTAGTTTGGTTATCTGACAAACTGGGATTATCTTGCCACAATGGCCCGCAGTGATTTTGGTCTGATCTTCTGCTGTCCAGCGGCTATCTTCTGACTCGCAATGAAAATAAACCCTGGACATGCAAGGGTGCGTTTGCCGAAAGCGAGTCCCGTTAAGAGAAAGCTGGCTTCGGGTTTGTTGTGCTTCCATTCAGTGGATCATTTGCAGGTGATGCCGAGCGCAGATAAGCGGCCGCCGATCCCTGCGTCCTCCGTCTAGACTCGCAGCTTTACGAGCAACACGAGATTGATCACTGCTACGGGAGGGGTTCAATTACTCATTCAGTATCCGCTCGGCACGATTTTTAGATAGATAGATGTATATTCATTCGTAGCCTCCGTTAAGAGTTGAATGTGACAGTTCAGGGTTCTGTGATCGAGTTATGACCTCAATGTGTCAAAGCATCTTTATTAGTGATTGGGCAGCAGTTTGTTATAAACAAGCCTATCACTTTTACGAACGACATCTAACCTTTTGGTGCTCAGTCTTAGAGGTTCCATAACCGAGCTTTGGAAGAACAGAATTAGAAGCGTATTCCCCAAAACAAAGAACAAATTCTGCATAACGCGGTTCTTTATATTTAGTATGTTCCGTCTCTACTTCTATAATCTAAAAAAGCAAATGTGTAATTTAACCCAGCTATTGTTTAAAAAAAAAGTAGTACGTCTGCATAACTGGATGAAAAAGCACAATCCAATTTCCAAATTCTTTTCAGAATAAATTCAGAAATCACGACACTGAAAAGTCATTCACTATTTAATTCTGTTCACGTTGCTCTTTTTCTTTTTACTAGATCTTTGGACAGTTATTTCCAGTCCAGTAAACAGTATACCTTTGTAACTGAAGTGTCTCTTGTTATAATATAAAAAGATAGGTTATGTAAACATGATATGGTTGTCTTTGCATGCAGGCTTCCTCAGACATAAACAGCATTTAACGTCGTTTATTTAGGCAATTTCTCAATTTTTGGTATGGACGGTTGTCCTGACAATAAATAACAATAACTTACTTTTCTAAATCGAGAAGTTTATACAATCCTTCCTCCTTTCGTTACTTTAAAATATTTTACAGCTCAGTTTTTATACATCGGAGAGATCATGCGCATTAAGACAAAAAGTTGATTTTTGTCTTCTAAGGAAAATACCACTTGCTGATAAAGCTACACAATGATGGTCTTGAATAAACACTGTTAAGACTGTTGTTTCGTAAGGTTGACAGTGATCCATAATCAAAACCAAAATAACGTGTTCATATTCCGCTGGACGTCCACGATATACCGTCCAAATGCTTTCAAAACAGTTTTGTAACACGTCTGGAAACCCCAAAGTCGCTTGGACAGGCTCCTCCGTTTGGCAAACTGTTTAAATCCATCTCGGTTAATCCCTTTTTCCGTTTGAGGCGGTGAGGTGATGGGTTTTCATGCAGGGCGAGTGAGGGCATGCTGGGGCAGGAGTCCTCCGGTGGGCTCTCACGTCTCCACGGGACTGGGCACCATGCTGTTGGGGGTGTCGGGTAACTGCGATGACAGAGAGGTCACATCACTACCAGACGAGTTACCCAGCGAACCCGACTCGGAAAATGACACCTATATAGAAAAGGGGAAGAGTTGGGAATCAGTGGGCTGTTCGATTGCTGTCAGCATGCCGAGGCTAATATACAGCTTTGACCCGAATTTGATTAAATGTCAGAGTGTTACATACGATTTGCAACTGACATTTACAAAAGCCTGCAGAACTTTGGCATGCTGTTAAATAATGACAACATATATGCTACAGATAACAACCAGTGTGCGAATTACAAGTGTGGGCTCAAAAAAATCCATTAGAAAAGTGGTGCGATTTGTTTGCAAAGATAATAGCCTGTTTTCGCGCCCTTACAACAAAAATGTAATTCATCTTTCTCTTACACTGTAAAAAATAAGTGTAATTTTAACTGTAAAATTTTGTAAAAACGTTACGGAAAAAAACTGTTAATAGGTTAACAGTAAGTTCCCGTACTATATACAGGGAAAAACTGTAAAATATCTAACCAGATATTTCATGTAATTTTACAGTAAAATGCTGTTAATTTTACATGTATAATTTACAGTCAAAAACTGTAAACCGATATTCCCAGAATTCCCTAAATGACACTCCACATTTGAAAGTATTTTGTTTAAATAATCATGTTTTTTTAATAGTCTTTGTTATTAGTTATGTATATTTGGGCTTTATGTTACATCTTCTGTTGTTTATTGAAAGTTGAATGCATTATTTAAGTATCATGTGTGTTACCATTATGGTGTTTTGTGTTTGCATGAATGACTCTGTGCACCTTCTATATATTAGTATATACTTCTGCTTGTGGCGAAGCTACTTGTGATGAGCTTTGATTCTTTATGTGGCTTTCTCTTTTACCACCTGCTTTATTTTGGTGGTTGTCAGTATGTTAAAGGTACAAAACAGATTTTAATAGCAGTGTGCATTGTTGAATTTACTGGTTAACATTCAAATTTTCTTGTTTGTAAATTACAGTTTTTTTTTGTACTGTAAAATTAGGCCGTAAATGTGTTTACAGTTTTCCTGTATTTTTTACAAAATTATTCTGGCAACCACAGCTGCCAAAATTATTTTGTAAAAACTACAGAATTTTTTTTACAGTGTACGCTTGCGACATGTAGCTAAATTTTATAATAAATAATTACACTTGATTTTGTCGATGTATCGCTCAGTATAGGCCTATACTGATAGCTAACGGAAAACGCTCTGTTGGTGCTCATACAAACTTGTAGCTAATAGGCTATAACTTTAGTAGTGAAACACTTTTTAACGAATAGGCTATATTTAGTCCTATATATTTCTTTTTTTTAGGCTAGATTTTAAGCAAAATGTCCACTTGAAATAACTGGCAAACGTACAAAGCCAATATAACAAAAGTTTAAAATGTGAAAAATGTTAAAATTGTATGATTGATCATTTTGATTGAAAGAAAAAGAGTCGGCATGATAGGCCTTGTAATAACTGTTCAGGGATGGCAGTCCTCACCAGCTGTTGGAAAGCAGGCTGGTCCAGGTCACTCTGTAAGGCAAATTCGCTTAAGGCTTTCCACGGAGGCTGATAGGTTTGAACTTCTACAGGATTTCCCTGGACTGTGGTGTCATGTCTAATCGGGCTGCCTGCCACCAGAGGCGTTCCCGTGAGACCCTGAAGATTCTGCAGAAAGGTAGAGGAGACCTTAGCGACACATAGCCTAGCTATCACATTTCAATTTTCAAAGAAGCTTAACACTTTGAGCGGAATTTCATAGATGTTCAAAATCTTTAAACCATCACAGCTATATGTAATAATATAGTCTGATTTGTAAATTGTATATTATTAACAACTAGCACTTTAGTGAAGCGATAGATAGACAGATAGATAGATAGATAGATAGATAGATAGATAGATAGACAGATAGAAATAGTTTTACAACTAGGTTCTTTATTGGCTTCGAAGGTTCCATTAAGAACCTTTAACAATAGATAGATAGATAGATAGATAGATAGATAGATAGATAGACAGATAGAAATAGTTTTACAACTAGGTTCTTTATTGGCTTCGAAGGTTCCATTAAGAACCTTTAACATTCATGGAACGTTAAAAGTTTTTTTTAATAGTGGAAAAAGGTTCTTTAAATTATTCAAATGTTCTTCACACTAAGAAAAAAAATAATAGATAGGCCTATTTGAAGAAGTAGGCCTATTCACTGAAAGGTTCTCCGAGGAACCCAAAATGGTTCTTCTATGGCATAAAAATATAAATATAAAAAATAAACGACGGAACGAGAACCTGCCGGATACCATATAAGAAGCCGAAAAACCTATTATGTAACATCAATAACTTTTTTTTAAATCTCCAAAGTCAGCACAATGACAAGGATTAGCCTAAATTTGGGTTGATAAGGTGCTGCAAAGAACCACTGAAGAAACTTTATTTGAAGAACAGCCTACAGAGTCGACAACGAAACAAGTTTAAGTTAAACCTTACGTTTAGAGTTGCAAAATTCCTACCGTTTTGTCGCTGTGTTGCTGTTGCTGTAGTTGTTTCATAAAAATGGACCTCTTCTTGTCTTTGCAGCGTTTGTTTTGAAACCACACTCGTATAACGCGTGGGCTCAGGCCGGTCATTTCCACGAGCTGTTCTTTCATTAGCGCGTCCGGACGCGGGTTTGCGTTATAACACGTCCGGAGAGTGTGGAGCTGCTTTTCGTTTAATACTGTCCGCACACGCGTGGTCTTCTCAGACTGCTTATGAACGTGGTTCCGGTGAGCTGGCTGTCGAACTGGCACAGGTTCTGCGAATAAAAGGCGTATAAATCACTTTTCGGCTTGAGAGGTCATTTCATTATTTAGACACACTGCAGAAGAGCACGCTTACTTGAAGGTTAAATTGTGCATACACACATCGGTCTGTAGCCAAGTGCGTGTCAGTCAAAACACCATAGGGCCTTCAATATGCTCTCAACTTTGCTGTTTGTGCAAAATGTTCAAAGATCGACATAAAATATAACATGCAACAAGTGCACCATCTTGCAAAGTAATAAGAGGGATAAGTAGTGACACATAATCGAACAGAATACTGTTTGTATGGTTTAATGCTGTTTAAGTCAGCGAGCCAGATATCAAAGCATGTTCAACATTTAGCTACTACACCGGTTATTTTAGTCAAATGATCTAAAGGCAGTTTTAGTTCGAAATTTATTGTTAAATATGACGCCTAAATAACTAATAATGTAGGCCTATTTAACAAACAAACAAACAAAAAAATATATATATATATGTGTGTGTGTGATAGCTCTGATTTCTAACAGCCAACACTCAAAATTCTGCCTATAATAAAAGACATCTTGATTTAAAAGATCGCAATATTACAGCATTTAAAAAAAAGAAAGAAAACATAGCTAATGAACTAAGAAAAACGCTGTGGCCATAATTTCAAATCATCATGCCAATAACCGGTTTCCGATTAATTTCAGGTCATGTTAATCCAATCAAAAATATCCTCAAACAATCTCAGCCATTTACAAGTCTGCCTTCAGGGATTTTACACGAAAACAATATCATCAAACTGGCCTGCAGGCACAGAACACAAGCTACTCGGTTCAGTCTGTAACAGTTTCACTTGCTGATTAAAGACAGAAGTCTCACACTGGTCGTAATTGTATTATTTCACGACGACTAGCCTATAACAACAACGACATTACTATTGTTGTTATATTTATGTATTATAATATTGTATGATGTTATTGTAATTGTAAAACATTTTTACATGTTATAATAGTCACAATACAGCATCTGAATTATTGAGCCTAATAAATTCCGAGTTCCCGAATGACTATCTTGTGCACTGTAATTATTATTATTAGTAATAGTATTATTACTGCTACCTGGGATGTGCAGGGGCCTGTTGGGGTGAATGTTTCCGGGACTGATGGGGCTCCCGGCTGCAGCGCGCTCCAGCAGCAGCCCGTGGTCCGCCCGGCAGAGCAGCTCCTCGTCCCGCAGAGAGAACTCATCTCCCGGGAGCAAATGCCTGCTGCACACCGAGCATCTGAAACACTCCATGTGATAGACGTTATCCCGGGCCCTCATCACCAGGTCACTGCTGCAGAAACCGGTGTTACATTTGGCGCATTTGATCCCGAATAACCTGCAGTTTCCAGAAGAAACATTTGCTTATTTTAGTGCTCGTTTCCAAAATCGTTCAGCCAAACCTCAGCTTGATTTTACAAGGCAGAGAAACACGGACCGTAAAGACAACGACAGGCCTAACTCTTTTCTTAAAGCATCTACACAATGCATTATAAAAGCAATACATGCATTTATTCTTTCATGGTTATTTGTAAAAGCACAGTTACGCATTTATTTCTGGGCGCAAAGGAGAATACATTCTAACACTTTGAGTGTTTGACTTGTTCTTTGTTTTAATACATTATAGCCTTTACAAAATGACACGTTAGTGTATTAGGCTATATCTGAGGTTGCATATATTTATTAGAGCATGCAGTTGATTGCGTATGATGTGTATTAGACACAATGAACACATTATAATGCATCGCCAAGAATACCCTTACAGGCTTTACAGAAACTGTTACCAACGGAATTACATTTCTTGAAAACAAAGCTGAACAAACACGGTAGGCTACCTACTAGAAAGCAAGCATGGCAAGCCTAAATCAGACATGACTGCAATATTAACCAAATAGGCTACTCCATGAAATATCTACATGCAATTGGAATTTTGCTGAAAAAAAATAAATAATACAATTTCCGCTAGATATCTTAGCTTTTTTAATATATATATATATATATATATAAAGTATATTATATATTATAGTATAGACCTAATGTAACAGCTAGCTAATATAATTGTAATCTATATTTATACCTTCGCAGAAAGGCTTTTTATTCGTTAGTTCATGGTAAAAACGCGATTGC